ATATATATATATATATATATATATATATATATATATATATGCGTAGTATATGTATATTTGTGTCCATCAGTGCATGCACAGATTGGAACATTGTTTCCATGTATGAAACTTGATATAAATGAATAAGTGAATAAGAGTGTTTTTGCCGTTGGTTGTTCTTTGAGTTGAAATAAGTGAGCAGTAATGATAATAATGCGTGAATGATAACTATTCCGTTTTTATTAATGGCAAACGAATAGAAGTATATGAACGGTTGCTGAGTATTGTGTTGTGTACAGCCCCGAGTCAGCGAATGAAGATCCGTGCTCTTCTTCACGTGGCTTACAGCAAGAGTTTGCACGAGGATTACTACCAAGCCCGAGATTTGATGCACACGCCCAACGTTCAAGAGTTGGCGATGCAGACGGACATATCGACTCAGATTCTGTACAATAGGAATCTGGTGCAACTGGGGCTTTGTGCTTTCCGTAACGGGCTCATTCAAGACGCGCATGCATGTCTATCACAGATATGCCCGAAACACAAAGAGTTGCTGGCGCAGGGGCTGTCGAATCTTAAGAATGTTGAACGCACACAGGAACAAGAAAGAGCTGAAAAAAGACGCCTGCTACCATACCATATGCACATCAGCATGGAACTCATCGAATGCGTACACAACATGTAAGTCCATACCGTACACTGAATCATGGTTATGGTTTGCGGGTTAGGGCTTAAAGGTTTCTACTTCTGTCTACTCGCGGGTTTAGGGTTTCGGGTTTAGGAGGTTTTTATGCCCTAGGCGCTCGGGTTCCAGAGCATAGTGTTTATGGGTCTACCGCTCCAGTATTTGCAGCTCTTTTCCGGCGTCAAGCGACAATATGTTTTTTAACATGTTGAAGTTGTTGTTAGCTCTTGTTTGGTATCTTCGGAGTAGTGTTTCTAATCGGTGCAGTGTAGTTGTTTGTCGTTGAAATATTTTTCTAAGTTGTTGAATTGTTTATTTATTGTTTTAGTTGTTAGAATATTGATCCCGTTTTTATTTGTTTCGTAGTTTCTTATGTTGGTTGCGTGTTACTCAGCTGCGCGATGCTGCTTGAGGTGCCGCACATGGCGCACGACGCGTTTGACCCTAGAAAGCGGCCGATCAGCAAACATTTCCGGCGAATGTTGGAAATGTATGACCGCCAGACGTTCGTAGGGCCCCCAGAAAACCCCAGAGAAACTGTCATGGCGGCTACAAAGGCGCTGCAGAGAGGTGACTGGGCGGACTGCGCCAGGCACCTCTGGACCCTTAGTATTTGGGAAAAGATGTACAACAAAGAACGAATTCAAGAAATGCTCCTTCAAAAAATCAAAGCAGAAGCTATGCGCACCTACATCTTCACGGTCAGCTCCGAAGCGCAGTCATAGGTTGCGGCCCCACTAGTGTCTAGGGTTTAAGATTCAGGGTTTGGGCTTCGGGGTATGGGGTTTCTGATTTAGTCTGCAGCATACTGCGGGGGTTCGGGTTTGAGGTTTAGGGTTTAGGGTTTCTGTGTGACGCGCGTTTCTGCAGTATTTGCCGCTCTACGACTCGTTCGCCATTGGCCAGTTGGCCAGCATGTTTGACCTCTCCTTAAATGCCGTTCACTCGATCGTCAGCAAGGTAATTAAAAGCAAACAGAAAAATTCACGATGCTATATATATATATATATATATATATATATATATATATATATATATATATATATATATATATATATATATAGGTAGATAGATGGGGATAATGTATAGTGAAATAATATGTACGACACTCAGTGTATGCACTGTGTTGCATACGCACACGACACTCGCCCTCCTCTATTACGGGTTGTTTAGTGTTTGCTATTTGCACATTTCGTCACTTTGTTTATCCCCTGCTTTGCTTTGTTTTTGTTTCAGATGATGATAAACGAGGAGATTCACGCGAGCTGGGATGAGACGAGTCAATATATTCTAATAAGCAGAGTCAAACACACGCGGTTGCAGCAGCTGGCGCTGACTCTGGCGGAAAATGTTGCAAATGCTGTAGAGCAAAACGAACTCACGCTCAACATGAAGAACCCCAAGTCCGTCTTATTTTTATTTTATTTTTTTTTTCTGCCTCGTTCCAGGGAATATCGGTGATGAGCAGACACCTGAAATGCCTGTTGATAGAAAGAGCTGTTAATATGCCTCGGTGTAAAGGGTTTAGCATTTTTGGTTTAGGGTGAATGCATGCATGTGACACACATATAAGTCGAGCGCGCGGCCGCTGCATCAGCCAGTAGCTGGAGTTTCTGCTTGTGTTTTTGTTTTTGTTGTTTAATTGTGTTCCGTTTTCTCTGCATATCGTTCTCAGGTTTGCTTTGACGCACGAACGCCGCTTCCTGCGCGAAGGGGACCGGGCTGGCTGGGGTGGACGGGAGAGAGAAGACGGCAACGGCCACCGCACCAGGCCGGGATTCAGGGGGCGGACTGGGCTCAACCCAGTTGGTGCGAGAGGCAGAACAACCGGGAGAGGGGCTTATCGCGGCAGTGGTTTCAGAAGCAACAGAAGCGGCGGGGAATATAGAGGAGACTACAGAGATAATAGAGGAGACAGAAACGACTACAGAAATAATGCAGAACAAAGAGACCCTTTCCGCATCAAATTCACAAGCCCACTCACCTACAACTGAACACACATTTAAACCATCACCTCGACATACACCCGGTTGCGCTGCCAGCTGGGCACACATGGCGAGCAGCAGAGCGACAAACACTGGGGTGGCTTGGCTCGCTGCGCGTGTAGCTTGAGGTGCCAGCTGCATGGACAGCTAGCTGTACATACAGCTAGCCGTGCATATGTATATGCAGCTGTATAAGCAGGCACGCATGCTGGCTCTGCACCGCATGCAGGTGTAATAAGGGCAAGTGAAGAATATGTTGTGCTTCATAGAAAGGAGAAGGGGGGAACTGGGGGCGTTGCGGAATGCGCAGTGTATGTACAGCTGGCGTTGGAGGCCCCTCTGACTTTGGGTGTTGTTGTTGTCTGCAGCATCGACTGCAGCATTTGTAGATATTTAGAGAGCGATTTCGGTCTTTAGAAAATCCGGTTTTGTTTATTTTACTCTGCACTTTATACAACCTCGACGCAACGCAAATCGAGACAGACAGTCAACAAGTTTAAAACAAAAGAGTTATATTATATTTGTGTTGTTTGTTAGACATAGGGGGTACAACCAACTCGCCTCATGGAGCGCGTTTGCTGCGTGTACAGACAGCTGACGTCCCGAATAAATTGCTGAGAGGCTAAACTAAAATATCGCCGTCTGGACGAACGCCAGACGCGCCGCCCAGCCCCTGGTGGCTTCACTCTCAGCCATCNCTAAAATATCGCCGTCTGGACGAACGCCAGACGCGCCGCCCAGCCCCTGGTGGCTTCACTCTCAGCCATCAGGTTAAGTGGCAGCGCACAAAATTATATATATTTACATTCATTTGTATGCATGCATGTTTATGTTTATTTATATTCGCTTACTTGTATGGAGGTAAGTGCTGTGTTTCCACATGTATTACCAGCATCGGAAGTCTTAGGGTAGGGGCGAATGCACATATATAGTATATATGTCTGCATGCATGTAACGCTTATATATATATATATATATATATATATATATATATATATATATATATATATATATATATATATATATATAATTTGCTGCTGTTACAGTCAGCTGCGAATCTGCCAGTTGCAAAACGTCTAGCGGGGTTTTTGTTTGTTCCTGCTGGGGTTTTTGCTGGTGCTCTGTTGCTGCGTTCTGCAGCTTTGTGAGCATTGCCTTTGAGGCGACTGGCGGACACTCCTTGCGCTGTGTCAGCCTAACAGACACACAACGACTGTCGGGTGTTACGAGGCGCGTACAAATAATATAAAAAACAAAAAGAATAACAAAAAGAATGAGTAAATGCAATACATATATGACGTCCGTAATACAAAAATGATAATTGGGGGTTCTGTGCCGCATCGTGTTTTTGTTGTTTTCGTGTATTATGTTTATTCTTGTTTATCATGCTCTGATGTTAATGATAATGTTAATACAGAGTCTTCACTAGATACTGCTTCGGCGCTTTTATGGGTGTTGCTGAGATGTGTTGTAGCGTGGTTTATATAAGACTTGTATGGTGTTATTGTTTTGAGTTTTTTTATTAGTAATTGTTGTATTTTCTGGTTATTATCTACTGTTGTTCAAAGCGGGTATTATTAAAAAATATTTGTAGTGGGGTGGTATACAAACGAATCCGGTTGGTTCCGTTCGTGTATGACTATCATCAACTGTTAGCTCATACGAACCACTGCCAGTGAACACCAAACGATGAGAGAAACAAACTCAACTAAACAAATAAAATAACCCTAAACACATGAAGAGACACGCAAGCAAGCAGATAGACAGAGAGACAGCGAAGCAGAGAAGAAACAAGCAGGAAAATGCTTTAAGGCGTTCGCAGCAGGTTCTCGGCTGCCTCTTGCAGCTGCTGCTGCAGCAGCAGCAGCTGCTGTTTGTGTTAGTGTTTGAATTTGCCAGTTGCAAAACGTCTAGCGGGTTTGTTTCTCGTTCCTGCTTGGGGTTTTGCTGCTGCTCTGTTGCTGCGTGCTGCAGCTATTTGAGCTTCGCCTTTGAGGCGGCTGGCGAACACTCGTTGCGCTGTGTCAGCCTAACAGACGAACAACGACTGTCGGGTGTTACGAGGCGCGTACAAAATATAAGCAACAAAAAACAGAAAAAAGGGAGAATACGAGCACAGTATAATCTATGCAAGATGGTTAGTATAGTGTGGTGGAGGTTTTGTTAACAACTGTTTATTCTGGTTGTTACTAACGATTAAGCCTATTATTATATGAACAATAACGCATATATATATATATATATATATATATATATATATATATATATATATATATATATATGTATATATATATATATATATATGCTGCCATTGTGGCAGCCAGTATATTGTGTAGTAGGTGACATCTCATGCACGTTTTGCACTTGTAGACGAGGTGGTTTGGGGATTCCCTTTCTCTTTTCACTCCATTCGCAAAAGAAAATAAATTATTTGGAGTGATGTCATGCAGAAGGTGAACAGCTGAGGCGGCCTCCGCAACAAAAGCGTTTAAGGACGAACTTGAAGTTTTTTATGTGAAAACTGTTTTTTCGTCGGCTGTTCATTTCTCTCATGTTTTGGCATAATATATTTTAAGTATTTAGTAATATATTTACCTTCAGTATAGTTTCTTTAGCACGGTGCTTGCTGCTCGTATATACAGGTATTGTTCATATATTTAGGTTTAGGGACATATCTTTTAGTAGTGTGCTACGCCCCCAGTAAAATACCCTCAGCAATATTTTGTATATTTAGTAATAATCCTAGTAATAATAAGGGGGGAAGCTGAATATACACGACATCCTGTAAAGAGAACGCGAAACCTGGTGTAGTATAGAGTGGGTAGCTTCTTTTCTCTTCGTTTCAGGTTGCATCGGACCTAGCTGCAATGTGTTGCAATGATTTCTGTGTATTTGGTTCTGAATTGTAACAGAATCAGCTACAAGCTAAGCCAATATTTTCTCTATTTCTGTATTCATCAGGAACATAAGAAGAACGAAGAACAATGCGTTATTAAGTCTGTTGCAGTTATGTTCGTTGTCGAGGTAAGTATCCGCTATATGTTGAGTTATTTCCTTTTTTTCTTTTAAATAAAAACAGAAAAAATATCCCGAGAGGGGGAATGTATAGCGGATCTCGCCACGGCTGTCTGTCTGGGGCCCCCCATTCACTCGTATAGTTGACCGCCTGCTGGCGGCAGTCGGCGGAGGGAAGAAGATGTTTCCTTTTGATTTGAAATATAAATTTATTTATCTCTTTAGCATTATATATTTTAATTTAAAAAGAAAAACCATTTTAGCGTTTGTTTCATCACCAGATCGTGCGCCTTGACTCTTGAACATCGGCGGCATCGAAACCTCTGTTTTAGACTGGATTCTCCTCTTTAGACGAAAAAACTTTCTTTTTTTTAGCTAAATAATTTATTTATTTATTTAAATTCACCATTTATATGCTCCATTCACCGACTAGTTTCTTTGAATTCCGCCTCCTGCCGTAGCGGTTTCGGCGCTCTAGGGTTAGTATAGACAGAGAGGATATATATAGCCGCATGCAACCGCACAATGAGCAGCACCAGACACAGGCCGACGCGCCTTCTTCTTCTTCGCCTTCTTCTTCTTCTCCTCTGCTTTCTGTCGGCTTCTGGGACGCCTTTGCAGCGGGGTGTATGTGGAAGGAGCCGGTCTTAGCTGCACTCTCTTTCTCTTCTCTAGGCAAAGATCACATCTTGTGCGTCTCTGTGTCATTTGGTATTCTTTTAAACACAATCTACACGCACTTCAACGTACACCCCAGTGTATGCAGAGTGCAGTAACCGCCCGGGGTGTAGCGACGCCTCGGGCTGCCCCTAAGATGCCCTTTCCCCGCCTCTTTGCACTTCACCGCGTTCTGCGATAGCTGCTGTATCAGCTGCAGCAGCTACAAAAGATGCAGCAGTTACAGAAGGTGTAGCAGTTGCAGCGGCGACAGCAGCTACAGCAGCAGCTGCAAAGGCCCCTTCAGCAGTTGTTGAGCACAGCACAAGTGCTGCTGGGTCAGTGGCAGTGTTGCCTTATGGCCTCTGCGTTTCTGCATTTTGTGTGCAAATACACCTCAGGGTTCTCGCGACGGATGGAAGCACTACGGCTACAAGCACAGAAAATAAATCAGACAAAGATGACGCTGCAGAGGGCGCTCAGCAGCCGCAGCAGCAGCAGCAGCAGCAGCAGCAACAGCAGC